TCTCTCTCTCTCTCTCTCTCTCTCTCTTCATGCCGCCAGCTCATCCGCCGTCGGCCGAGTCTGCATTGCTTTCCAAAGATTTCCCGGGTCTAGCAAAGTCAGCATGCAAATCGAATCAGTGTCTAGCCCCTCCTTCCCTCTCTCAACCCAACAGCCAGCGCTGGCAACGCTGCAGTACTCTATGCATGCTAGCCTTGCCAAATGCGCGCACAGGATTCGTCGATTTGCGTAAGGCCCATGACGACGATCGGCCGCAACAGCTCAGAGCAAAGTGCCAGCCAGTGTCCGCGCTGCCTTTCCGCAAGCGTACTCGGATGTACGCACCTCAGCCTAGTGCATCTTCGCCGACCAACTGCAAAGCGAGCGAATGAGGGGACTTGCTATCGAGCATGCAAGGCAGAGGTGAGCTCGCTGGTCGAGGCGTGCAGCGGGAGGACCACGTTTCAACGCGCTAGTTCACTTTAGCAGGTGAGAAGGGGGTTGAGGCTGGATCATCGAATCGCCGCCTCGCCTCGCTCGGCCTTCGACCCTGAGGAGCTCGGATTCTAGCCCGTGGCCTTTTTGAGTTGAGTGAAGCCCAAAGAATGCAGGGTGCGAATTTCTCGAAAACATGGCCATGCAACTTCCTCCTCTCCTCTCTTCTGCGGCTCTGCTGCTCTGCTGCTCTGCTTTCTCGGCGCTTAATGGCTGACAGTTTCGCTTCCACGACACACAGAGTCCCGCGCCTCGATCCTGAAATTCGCAATGCCTCTACGCCACGTTGATGGCACTGCCAGCAACTCGCAGCAACAATCTTGCATTGCACTCCTTCTTTTTGCCTGGGCGCAAGGAGGAGACAACGGCCACATGTCGACACAGAATACAGCAGAGCCCAGTTTGGCGTAGGGACCGTGCACCGTGAATGCGAATAGTGGCGTCTCGCTCCATCTCGACCTGGCGGCGGACAGAGCTCTCCGTGAGACAGGCAAGCACTCTATCGCAACTCACTTACAGTACTCTGCAGCTTATCGACTCACATCGCATGCGTATGGCTCGGGAAGAGGGTCACGGGAGAATGAGCTCGTCTCGTCTCGTGTCCGAGTCAAAGTAGAGAGGGAGAGACATCTCGGCCAGCAGCCTCCCGCGGATTCGATTCGATGCGTTCGTTTTTCGACTTTTTTCTTTCTTTCTTTTTTCCCCCTCTCTGGCCTGGTTCCTGGATCGATTTTTCCTGGCGTCGCGCAGGAAAAGGTGGCTTCGCATCCTGCCCCAATGAGCGCGCGTTCACACTGGCACCCTGCCAGTGTGGCCGTGCCCTCGAAGCACTGCAACAGTCTGGGCAACTGCTCCCGGTTGCTCCGAGGCGTCGGTGGACCTCTCGGCCATGTCTCTGAACCGGACTCGCCGCCGCCTCGTGTGTTGCCTCGGATTGCCATGTGGGAGAAATTGAGCACGGAATTGCATTTTCGATGCGCCCCCGCTGGCAACGCAGCTGTCTCTCTCTCTTTCTTTTCTCACCGACCACCAAGCGGTGGGCACCTCTTGATCGTACCTCGCTCGCCCTGCCCATTTGTGCCCATCCGTGCCCATCCGCTTCGAATCGCGTCGAGAGCATTTAGCGTGGTGGATTCATTTCCACTGCATCTGGCCTCTGTCGCCCTGCATCAGCCACGTCCTGCCTCTGCTCCCCGCTTGCTTGCCCTTGCCATTGCCCTTTGGTGCCCGTGGCGAGCTTTCGTGTTCCTGGCGGATTCCCTCTGCCCTTTCCTGGCGAGATGCACCCTGATTTTTTCCGCCGCCTCTCGCCTTCGCTTGTCTTGTTGCTCCCTCTCCCTCTCTCCCTCTCCCTCTGCCTCCCCTCGGTCTGGACGGAAAGCCGGTCGCCGTGCTCTCCGCATCAGCTGCTTTGCTTTGCTTTGCTTTGCTGTGGCCGTGTCTGCTGCCCGCGTTTGAATTCACAAATGCGTCTCTCCGGACCGCCATCGCCCCTCGCTCTTGCTGCAGCGGCACCTGCAGGGCCCTCTCTCGCACTCGTCCTCGTCTTCGTCTTGTAGTGCCACGCCCACCGAGCTCTGACTCTGCTGCTGTACGACTGTACTGCTGCTGCTGCCTCCATTGATCGTGCATTGTGCCTCTCTCTCCCTCTCGTAAACCGGTGCTTCTGATCCCGCTCCGCTGTGTGCTGCTGCTGCTGATCCCCGTCCGCTCGCGCTTTCCCCCGCTCCTCCTGGCCTCGCTCGCTCGCTCATTCGCTCCTCCAGTGCTGCCGCCCATCTTTGGCGGCATGACTGCGCTCAAAGTTCCGTCTCCGATCCACTCGCATCCCCTCGTTCCTACCGACTTGGGTGTCTGCTTGTTTGGCCCTGGCCCGCCGATTCCCCCTCGTGTTCCTGCTGCCACTCCGGCTCCTCCTCCTCGTCCTGCTTTCCCGCTCCAAATCAACTCCGTCAACTTCCCTTTATAGATCCGTCCCCTCCCTGCCTTTTCCACCCCGACTTCCCTGGATGCCCCGCTCAACACCGTCTCCGCTCCTTCTCGGATAGCTTCTCCCAAAACACCATCCCTACCACTACCACCATCACCACTACCACCGTCACGACCTCCTTGCCTCTTCTCGCCTCCTGATCGCGCGCGTCCGCTCTTGCAGCTTCCACACACCACTTCATCTCCCTTGGCCGTCATCGATCGCCTCGCTTCGCTGCACCGAGCCCACACTCGACCTAACCGCGTCGCTCCTTCATGTCGGCTCGCCCAGGCCTATCAGCAGCCAGCATGACATACGGAATGGCTCCCCCGATGCATCCGCACCACCTCTCCCACGCCGCCGACGCTACTTCATCGCTCCCACCCCAAAGCTACGCCGCCCACCAGCAGCAG